TTGCACCCAAAGCGGTAAAGCATCTGAAGAGTCTGTCCAGATGCCATCCAACTCCAGTACCGTTTTCAATCTTTGAGCCGTCAGTATAGAAACTTTTCACTTGGGATGGGTAGTGGGAGCTTGAAATTCGATTTTTCCCGAATTTCGAACATTGCCCAACCATTCGATTATTCGATTCAAAAGTTGGCGGTGCAAATTGGACTTAATTCGAATTTTCTAAAAATTTTTTGAAGTGAAACTTTTTAATCGAGTTTGGAGATGTTTGCGTTAAATAATTAACACCAACTCAAAAAAAATGTCTTGCCCTGTAGATGTGTAATATGGTTTTATTTTTTGCCATATGTTAGAAAATCAAATTCAAATAATTTAATAAGTTAAATAAAAATCCCCAATATGGGTATCAATCGAAAAAGTTTTGAATAAACCTAATTTTTTAAATACATGTAACAGGGTTGCCACCTGTTTGAAAAGTCGAATTTAGTTAAAGAAGTGTTGTGCTTAAAATACTATACAACAATTAAAATGTTTTTGAGGTGCTTGAAAAGAGTGGCCACCTGTTTAAAAAGTTAAATTTAAATTAAATTGTTCAACAGCCGGAACCAGCCCGGACTTTGTTAACATTTTCTGAAAGTATACCCATCCAGTAGTAGTTTTATTTAATGGCCTTCATTTCTCGGCGTAAGTGGTATTCAAAAAGTCGATGGCATGGTTAAAATAAATGGCTGCGAGAAATTAAAGTTAAGACATATATAACAAAATTTCGTAAAAATGTTAACCCATTAGTTTCCGCCTAAAAGGGTAATTTTGACCATTACTTCAAGAAATCCCGCAAAAAACAAATTTCAAAGGTCGTTAGAGGATTGACATATTATAGAAAATTTTTTACGGAAAATTTTTTCTCAGGCAAAAACTTCATGCCATCAAAAGTCTCTATGAAGTTATAACCCTAAAGTTTTCATATCTCGGCCTAAGTAGTTTAAAAAAAAGCGCAAAAAATTGTTAAAATATTAAGGTTAAGACATATATAGTAAAATTTCTTGGGGAAATATTTTCGTAGAACATTTTAACTCATTAGCGCTCGCCTGAAAGGGTCGGTTTGACCTTTTCTTCAAGAAACCCCGCAAAAAGCAAATTTGGAATGTCGTTGGAGGATTGATATATTCCAGAAAATTATTCTTCGGAAAATTTTACTAGGAGTCTTTTCAGGCAAAAGC